CTTCCTTTCTCATATGAGCACAAAACTACACAACGGAATCGACAGGAATTGTTGGCAGTCCTCAACTGAGAGAGAAGTTGCCTGTGAAGTTGTCTTTGAAGGTTACGATGCCAACACCACCACCACCATCACTGAAACCAAACGCAACACGTAGAGCGGGATGCACGAGAACTCGGGGGGCCATAGGCGCCTTGGCGAAGTTCAGGCAGCGTGGGGTTCACAAGGGCGCAGAGCTAATATTGGCTAGACGGCAGAGATTAACAGGCTAGGGGCATAGAAGCAAAAAACGGCCCTCGAGGGAACAATCAACCTACATTTCGACGACGCTCTTCCTCCAGCTCTTCTTTGCGCTGGCGGGCAAGCCGCTCATTTAACTCTCTCAACTGCCGTTCTTCTTCCTAGGCAATAAAAACAATGTTCGATTAATGTGATTATTAGCAATTTGTAAGCAAAAACCGCCAAAGTCAGCTACCGCCCTTCGTTTGAGGTTTTGTGGACTGAACACAGCGACGATGGCATATATAAAAAACAGAGTAGTAAATACCATAAAGGTATAAAAGGAACTGTTCCGATGGAAAAGTGACCTAACTAGAATTGAAAACCAGCGAAGGCGCTGGACGATGCATACTTTTCAACCAGACGCAGTTAAAATTAAATCTGCATCGCCGTGCATACTATTAACCATGGTCCCTGCGTTCTGGTTCTATCGGGAATTGAAGCGGATAATGGTGATACTCGAAAGCTCTACCAACTTATTCGCCAGGCTAGTGGTAGACTGTCTTCACTGAGTGACTCAGTTCGTGATATGAATGGCAGCTTTATTGCTGACACCGCGACCAAGATCGAACGCTGGCTTAAGCACTTCGAGCACCTCCTCAACTTCGATACGGAGCCTACCGCCCCCCTGCTCCCATCTACAGTCGAGCCTCATCCATCTCTCACTTATCCAGTGTCATGCGACCCGCCTTCTCAAGCAGAAATCACTTATGCCATAAAAAGGCTGCGCAACAATAAGGCACCTGGAGAGGACGGCATACCCGCTGAAATTTACAAGTCTTGTGCCGAACACTCTGGTGCCTTGGCTCCATGAGGTGATTGGACAAGCATGGAGAGACGAGACCATGCCTGATGACTGGGGCTCAGGCATCCACAAGAAGGGAGACAAGACAAAATGTGAGAACTACCGCGGCATAAGCCT